GGAGAAAGATGAGGCTTTCTGCTCCTATAAAGATTTGCAGCCTCAGAAACCCTGCACAGAGTCACTGTGAGTTGGAACTGACTCCACGGCACATAACAACAACATTATAAAGCAGGTATCCAAATCAATAATGTATAAATGTAATCTTGAATGTAGCTGTCTGCTTCCATAAAAATTAAACCAAAAATCCCAAACCCTATTGCCATTTGAGTAGATTCCATTTGTAGTAGCCCTACAAAGACAGTATAGACTGTCCCAAAGAGTATCCCAGGTTGCCATCTTTACTAAAGCCCACTGTCACATCTTTGCAAAACAGCTTAAATAACCACTATGCAACCACTGGGCTCCTTCTTTGGAAACATTATTCGGCAGTCCTAGTCTGTCATATAGGGTCACTATAAGGCAGAATTGACTCGACAGTAACAGGTAATAGGATAATATCAAATAAAAGTAATCTATTATGACTACAGGTACCACCACCACCCCCACTTTATTAAATCACCTAAGAAGGCTACTCAGTATATGACCAGTCCTCCTTGTGTGTCCTATTAACAGGACCTCACATGGGTTTTTCCTTAAAAAAAAAAAAAAAAAAAAAAAAAAGTTCAAGGATCCACACTAGCTATTAAGAAATTCTGTGCTTTCTGAAAGAGAATATAAAGAAAGATGAACACACTATTTCCCTGAGAAAATTGTTTTGTTTTTTTCCCAAGTTGTAAGCCAAAGACATTTCCATTCCTAAAAATAGATGCAAATTCTTGCACACAAATAAACTTATGAATGAAGGGAAAAGAAATCCACTGAGGGCATAAAACACACTACTTAACAGAAAAATAACCAATAATGCTATATAAAAAGATAAACACAGATTTCACCTTGTTAAATACAAAAATGTATCTGAGTAACCGTAGTGGCAAGCTAAATTTGGAGGCAATTTTTCTAATTTTCAACCACATTTCAAATAAAATATAGGAAACAAAGTTAGTTTCAGTATAGAAACTGCTTGTAATTATTTTTAGTCTTATGCTGCTTGTAAATCAAATACATCATTAATGCCATTTGTGCTTGTTCAGCCTGGACTCATTAGTAGCCTTTCATCTTTTCATGGAGTTAACATTTCTTACATACAAATTTAAATATTATTTTAGCTTCATGAAGATAAAAATAACTAGCATTAAATAGCCTGTTTATTGGCTACTGTTGTTGCTAAGTGCCACTGAGTTGGTTCTAACTTTTAGCAACCGTGCTTAGAATTTCTGGGGAGTGGCTGAAGAATTTAAACCATCAACCTTAAAGTGAGCAGTCCAGCGATTAACCTATGGAGCCACACCAGGATCTATGTTGATTGGTGGTGGTGGCAATATGCCGTGGAGTCAGTTTCAACTCAGCGACCCTGCACGGGTTTCCGAGAATATAAATCTTTACAGGAGCACAAAACATCATCTTTCTCCCACAGAATAGCTGGTAGCTTCTAACTGCTGACCTTGAGGTTAGCAGCCTGACTCAACAACTACATTACCAATGCTCCTTGCTTATTAATAATACTGGAAGAAACCCTGGTAGCACAGTAGGTGAAGCAAGCACCAAGCTAACCTAAAAGGTCTGTGGTTCAAACCCAAGCTCTCTCCTCCGAAGAAAGCTGAGACAGGCTGCTTCCAAAAACATTTATAGCCTTAGAAACTCTATGGAGCTTATTTACTCTAACCTTAACAGTGTCACTAAGTGTCTTCTTAGGCATTTTTTAATACACAGCTAATTTTAAATATTTTTATCAAATTTTTGCCACTAACACAACAGAAAGTTTCTTTAAAAATTTATAATAATACATCACAATAGTATATCACACTAAAAATCTTTAAGTACATACATAAGCATCAGTGGCTGCATACAGTTTCTGGTCCTCAGTGAGAGGGAAATTACTCCAATTGCTACACTGGATACTCTTGTCTTTCAAAAGCTGTTTACTTAAGATGTGTTTAACCAAACCATTGAGGCTCCAGGTCTCTGTACATTTCAGCTAGAAGTAATGAAAAACATCAATATGGTAAAAAATTTTTCCTATTTTCAGATGTTTCTAAATACTACCAAATGACCATACCATTAATAAAATTGTAAAGATTATATCAAAATTCAATCTCAATATATTTACTGTCACTAAAAACCTCGTTTTAGTTTACACTGAAAGAATTTAATTCTGGGATTTCGCCAATGTTAAGGTTAAAACTCATGGACTATGAAAGTATTGTTCATGGAAACACCTGAGTATTAATAGGCTTTCTACATCCCAGCCAAATGAATACTTGGATAAATATAGGTATTTAATTTAATGTTTAACGGAAAGCCTTATCTCTCTCACGCGGAGGGCCTGGTGGATTTGAGCTGCTGACC